TTACGTACGACTGTAGTAGTAATAAACATTTATTAACTCTCATTATTTGTAATGGTTCTGTAGGTCATTATTAATTTGAGAAAACAGTGTATTGTAATTCATAAGTTATAACTTCTATAATAATAAAAATCTAAAATCGATAAGATTCATGACTCATTTTATACAACCCATCCCTACTAAGTTTCAAATGAATTGTCAAATTAATCTATCTTATTTAGACACACTATAGTACATTTAACATTAACCTACGTAAATTATTCAGTACATTTTACCAAACTATTAAATATACAGTGATGTAAAAAACACAATCGCTTATTTCTAATTTAAAATTGTTATTCACCTAAAGTATTAATCATAACCTAAGTTGTCCAAAGTTATTTACAAAAGATATTTCGCGAAATTACTGACACTATTAAGCTTGAATGTCTTTTTGTTGAACTTAAGGTTAAATATATACACATTGGAATGTTATAAAAATAAATAAATATGCAAGACGATCGATAATAATGTTAACATAAAAAAAGATAATTAATTTATCAATTGTGCGTGGTAAGTGTAACTCTTCAATCATCTTAACAATTTCTTCACAACCTGAATTTAGAGTTTAAATTGTAATGAAAAAACCCGTTAGCATTTAGCTCATGTCCTTATTCAAAAAGATTTTAATCTCATTCCTTAAAAAAATCATCCAAAAATCATTCAGTTAACAATACAATTCATCTAGCTGTTAACTAAAAGTGCGCCCGGAAACTTCAGACCTTATCACGCATTGCATCGAATTTATTTTATACGATTTTGGTTTGACAATCAGACCAGATCGGCCGATAAAAAGTCTAGTTTATAGGGGCTCTAAAACTATTCCTATAACTAATGTATCTTACAAAGTGTAAAACCTTGATTTTTAAATAACAATAAAATAAACATATCACATATTTGATGTCTTCAAAAATGTCTTGAATATCACAAAGTTATTTGCACATGGCAACCCATTTGTCGTCGTGGCATTTCTCACAATCCACCCTGCAGCACCAGTGGAAGGTGCAGTTGCAAGGTTTGATACTGGACCTTCGTATTAGAGCGTGGCCTCGCCCGCAGCAGAGCAAATCGCAGGAACCAGTGCGGGATGTGCGCCCGATCCTGCAAACCCTGCCAGATGTGCCCGATGAATCCATACGAGGGTCCGCGTCACAGAAACTCGGTGACCTAAAATTAAAATGTATTTGACTAGCTGTTGTAAAAACAAAGCTTATGCTACTTACTGATAACGTAGTTTTTTAATGGTGAAAGAATTTTTGAAATCGACTCAGTAGTTTTTGAGTTGTTTCAATAAATGCAGAAATACAAATCTTTTAATACTAGTATTTATGTCGTTAAGCAGTATTCAAAGCAATTTTTATACAATAATAAGTCTCTTTATCTATTTACATGTTTTATTTATTACTAGTAACGTTTATGATGCAATTCGAGACTGCCTAATTTAATGTAACATCTATACTTACTTTTCAAAGAACAGTAGGCTAGTTTTTGGAGCTGGTTTCGCTCGACTCCGCCTCTTGCCTCGTGGTCTTCCTCTCAGTACTGACATACCGTTGTTCAATTCTTCTTGTGCCACAAGCAGCGCCTAATAAGTTGCAATCTCAATTTACTTGCTGCGACCAGTCACTTATTTGTAATATTATTATTTGTAAATTACTTAATTAATGAAATGTTGTTATAAAATTGTAGACTACATTCTTTCATTCCACTTTACCTAGTTTAGAAAAGTCTCAATAATAAGTCAAAAAAGTAATATGCTGAAAAGCAGACCCAATCATCTAACAAATATTTAGCATTTATTAGCAACTGGAATACAAATAACTTACTTTCCGATATTGTCTTTTTATAGTGGAAGCGACGACGCGGAAATCTGGTGTGGCGCGCCAGCAGGTCCTCAGTTGACAGCTGCCTGACAGCCCGTGACACTTGCACCGGACTTCCATGTGTGAAGACAGGATCTGGAGTATCAGACACCAATATGAAAGGTCTGTTTTATATATCTAATGAGAAAGAGATAGAAATAACTGCCGTTAATTAGCCCTTAAATCAATACCTCCTTGCAAAGAGTCCTCATTAGTCTTTAGAAGAAACCAAATATTTGCTGAAACTGACTCATTTAAAAAACCAATGTTTAAAATAATACAATAAAACGTACAATATCAAAAATCAATTCTCCATTACAGAAATAAGAAATTATTATGCTGTATAAAAACTTTTAAATCGGTCATTCCACAAAGCGGCCGCTCGAAATCACAGAGCCCGGTTGTCGTCATACGTGACCGCATCTTTGGCACAATTACCGCCGCAACCGCCACCCACTACAGCTAGCTCATAACATTTACATAATTAAACGCCTCGGAGCAATCACTCTGACGTCTTAATTTCGCGAGCGCCGCCGGCCGAACGATTTCCCAAATTGAGTCGGAGCAAAAATTCAAATAAATCGGCGTTTCGGAACGCCCACCCATCCCTTTCGGCTTTAATAACGTAGCATTACGGGCGTCCGCGATAGAATTCGCCACCCAAGACGTTTGTAATACGTCGTAATGAAGCTGGAATATTAAAAATGGACTCGAACCGCTTATTATGTTCTCACCTCGGCGGGCGGCTCGTGAAATACGGCCGGCTAATGTGGCCCTGGAG